TTGCGAGGGGTATTTCGTGGGGCAGGGGCGGGGAAGAAGCCATCCTGCGGTCAGAAGTATCGCCTGGCGTGCGGTATCCCGCGCTTCCTCTGACAAGACACTTCTCGCAACTCAGGGTTGTTTTTTCAGCTTGCCAAGGGTCGTAGGTCTGTGCCTTACTGGGGTAGCAACTGGTGCTGACTCAGTACAGTTGCCTGAAAGTCTTGGGACCCGCTGGGGTGCCGGGCTGGTGGTCGGTCTCCCGTACAAAACAAATGGGAATATTTTATGCTGCTGCTGCTGGCTGCGGATCGTATCAAGTTCTGCGCTGTTGATTCCCAAAGAGCTCTTTTTGCCAAATAACATTTTTAGCTGGGGCTGCCATTTATGAGAGCCCGTAGGAAGCTGTCAGGGGTACTAAAGGTGTAGCATGTGTTCAGTGTGCATCACCCACGTGTGTGCAGGTGTGTGGCTGCCTGTATAGAAAAAAAATTCTGAAAAACCTGTGTCCCAGATACCGATTTTGAAGCTGCAAATCACATTTTCCAGCTATTCTTGTCTTTGAGATTGCAACAGGGATTTTTATTCACTTTGTTCTCATTGTTCGGAATCCGTGTACGTGACCATGTTAGTTACTGTTTGGTACGTGCACACGTGTGTGCAAACACATGAGAATTAATGTTAGCACTCTGAAACCTACTTTGTGGGCATACTTGTTCTTGTATAAAAGTAATTTATTTATCTTAATGTCCCTTGGAGATAGGATTTCATTAGTTCCGCCCAAATAAATTATTCCTTCATGCAGATAAATTTTCAGAGAGGACTTTAAAGCTAATTGTGGCTGTACAGCTCATCAGGTGACATTTATCGATGGCCTTGTCTAGAGCGTAGCTTTAATCTTACTTTTTTTTCCTCTCTTTGGTAACGTTTTCGTGACGTGTCTGGAAACACCTTCTGCAGTCGTTATTCCATGTGACTAATATTTAGCAGGCTGCTCTGCAGTATCTGTGAGTGAAACTGTTGAAAGCTAAGAATTTCCAAACTAGATTAAGCAGAGATGGATCGCTCTTAATTTACGTGGTTATTTCTAATTAATAAATTTCCTAAAATCAATACTGTTAATACTGGACTGGGGGCAGGAAGGGTCAGTATCACCGAGTTGATATCTTCTGTTTAAATTCCCTGACACGGGCACGTTCGTTTTATTTGGACTTAATTCTTCAAATCTTGCGTGCCTTTACTACTGTGTGCAGTCTGTTAATATTAACTTGCCTGATACCGTCGTGTTAAACTGCTGTAACGTGATGTTAGAGATCCTGTTACAGGAATAGCAAGTCAGCGCTTTGAAGCAGAGCTCTACACTTATTTTAATTAGCTAATTACTGGTACTGGTTATGACAAAAACGTGGTGAAGTATTAGGATGTTTTTCGATGTGTACATCTGATAAAACACTGTAGGGAGTGAAGTCCATGTTAGAAATTTGAAAATGAGTATTTCAGTTGTAAAAACGCTGGCTTTTGTGCTCAACTGTGTTTCAGAAACCACTGTTCTCTTGAGAACAGACCTGTTTGGGAGGTACCAACATTTTGTTCAGTGAAGTTAGTGCTTTCCAGGAGGGAACTGTCTTGGCAGATATTTTAATTAGCTTTTTTTTTTTTTTTTGCTCCCAGTTTCGCAGTATGTCGCGTGAAAACACTGTTTGGAGGGGAGGGAGGAGTTTTTGCAGGTAGGTTGATGCAGTAAAGGATGTGATGAAAAATAAACGGGGGTGTCCAGAACAGCCTGGGCTTTCTTAAGCATATGGAGACTGAGGTGGGTGTTTAGGCAGGGTTTCCTGGTGCCGTGGCTGGCAGTAAGCACGGCCAGCTGGAAAACCTTCACCTTGGTGTCTAGGAGGAGAGAGGATCAGAAGGCACTAAAGCCCTTTTGTGAGTGGTGTTTGATAGGAATTCGGCAGGCAGCTGGGTTTTGAGAAGAACGTTGAAGACAAGCGCAAGTAATGTCTGAAGCTAATGACGCTTCTGTTGAAGGCTTTTCTGTTGGAGTCACCTTCTGCTCTTCCTTCCCATTTTAACAAAACACAAGTTTTAACGAATCTGCAAAGTCTTAAGGTACGGCTATGAAATACATGAATATGAGGGAGTAATTGCGAGACTCTGCCTCTGTTGCCTGGTACTTCAGGCCCCCTGAGAGTCTGGGTTTATACATAGGAGTGTTGGGTTCTGCGGTGATGAGTAGAAGAGATTTTTCCCTAGGCTAAGTTGTGCTGATAAAGTCTGTATGGGTCATGCTGTGGTACTGATCAGTATGATTTTTATTGGATTTTTTAGTTGTAAATCTTTGAAAGACACGTAGTCACGCAGTGTTCACTCCATATGTATTTTTGTTAACCAGAAGCATTTTGCATTTGAACTTCTCTATAGCTGTTAAAATTTTGGCTTTGTTACAAACATCTGACTTTCCTGGCTTCCCATTTTATTACTTTTACTGACAAGGTGCTGAGTCTTAAAAAAACCCTGAGAAAACAAACCTAAGAGTTGCACAGCTTTTATCTGTCTTTTATAAATAGCAGAGCATCTGGTATGAAACAATTGCCATGGGTTTTCATAGAATAGAATACCAGGTTGGAAGGGACCTCAAGGATCATCTGGTCCAACCTTTCTTGGGAAAAGCACAGTCTAGATAAGGTAGCCCAGCACCCTGTCCAGCTGAGGTACTTCACTCTACAAGACAGAAATCATATTTGTTGTGTGCTGTTAGAAAACTGTCGTGTGTTGGTAAAGCTTCACTGAGGTGAACTGGACAAGTACTGAAGAACTCTAGTTTTGTCAGCTTCCCTCCTCCCCAGATTGTTAAGGGGTGATAAATTGAAAAATGTGTGTTCCTCATTAATTTACTGAACTTCCTGAGTACCAAATTCCTGACTGGTATTGTTTGTAGTTCTTGCTGGCAGAGGTGGAATGCTTCTGTGGCTGTCCTTTCCACCCTGAGATACAGCTATAACCCTGTGCCAAAGTCCCACTAGTGTTAAAGGGAGAACGTGGATTAATTAATGGGAGGACACAACTTGATTGTCTTTTATATTCTTAAATGCACTTTTACTATTATGCAGCGTTCATCTGGGAGAGATTATTTGTGATGAAAACCCAGTTGCCTTTCTCAAAATAACTAACACCGCTGTCCCACACAATGTTTTCTTTATTAAAACAAAAATGGACTGTGCTCTGCTGAGGGGAATAACCTCTGATGAATTCTTCCTTGAGGTGCTTGCTTCTCATCTTACCTGTGAAAAGGTCCGTTTGCATTGAGCAACAGTGCAACAGCGCTGAAGATCATCTCTAACAGAATTAGTTAGATAATAATTTCTCAACTCTTTGTAATTGAATTGAGCTTGGCATGGTGCTTGCAGGTTCTGTTGGAGGCCGACTGCTGCTGTGTCTTATCTACGATGTGTACTTCTGCTTAAAACAAATTTGGGGAAGTGTGACAGTATAATACCACTGGTGCTTTAACAGTCTGAGATTTTCACATTTGTACAGGACTGAACTGCGTTTAATTGCTCTTACTTGGAGCTATTTGCTGATAGGGTTGTTAAATACTGTGCGTTGCTACCACGCAGCATTAAACTTGATTGATACTGGACTTGGACTTAGAAATACAGTGTTAGGTGTAAATTTGTTATGTGTTCTGGAGAAGAGAGAGGTATTTTCCACTTCAAGTTCTTTGAGTAATTTTGTTTCTAAAATAAAAATTGCTTAAGTGCTGCATGCATTGTGAGAAGGGAGACTGACTTGTCGTCTGTTTTGCCTTAACAGGGCGGAAGAAGGAGTCTGTCTGCAGCATCCACTACTAGTTTGTCATCTAGCATCTGCCCCTGCTAGAAGGCCACCATGCAGCAGCCTCCACAGACTGTTCCAGCAGGAGTGGCAGCTCCACCTCCTGCAGGCATCGCTCAGAACATGTACTGGAGAAACAGCTCGCTCGGGAAACGAGCAAATGCCACAGCTGCCCCGGTGCAGCCTGTGACAGACCCTTTTGCATTCGGCAGACAAACTCCGCAGGGTTCCCCTCTAGATAATCCATCCAAGGGCAATGCATTGCTGATGCAAAGTTCTTCCCCAGCAGTGTTTCCGCAGCCAGTTACACATACTTCACCGCCACGTACAGGGGACAGTGCTCATGGACCCCACACATCTTTATCAGCTCCTGTACCTCAGCCAGGAATAAATACCAGTACGTTTGCCAACGTCCCGATGCCTTCGCCGTCCCCAGGATATGTTGTCAATAGTGCTACGGAAGCACATCCGAATGCGGATCCTGGACTCCGTGGGCCTCCAGCACCGTTGCATTATAATACAGGAGCAGCAGTTGAGAATTCTTTTGGTGTGCATCCTGGAATGGTGTCCGCCTCCAACAAACCTGGAGGTAGACAAGATGTTAGTAGAGATCCCAATGACATTCCTTCAGGACCCAGCGCAACCGCCCTCTTCCCTCCGCCTCCTCAGCAGGCTGTGTCTCAGTGGAGGCCTGTTCAAGGTCACCTGCAGTCTCCAGTTCGGAATTTTGTGCCCTATCCTGAGCCGTCTTCTCAAATGGACGTTCATAACATTTCGCAGGCTTCTGTTAGCACTTCTCATCCTCCTCTGCAGGCGAATTTACAGCAGGGTCCTGTACACCAAGGTGTTCCACAAAACACTGTGCAAGCGCCTTTATCTGTTGGTTGTGAAAGGAATGGGAAAAATGGCTCTGGAAGTAGCAGTCATCACCTGAACAGCATCCCGCCTGGAAATGTGTTTAGGCAGAACACAGAAATGGCTAACGCTTGGTTAAGTCAGCCGTACCAGGAACAGTTTTACCCACAGCCACCGTTGCAAGACTCCAGTTTTGTCATTCCCACAGCTCAGGAAAATAACTCCAAAAACCAGTCTCTGGATATGTCTGAAACATCCAATAGACCGATTCCCGCAGATGGAGATTCGGGAACTCTCTCCATGTTTTTCAAAGGGGATGAGGCAGAAAATGAAGAAATACTTTCATCTGAAAAAAATTACATAGTTGAGAAAACGGAGTTTGATGCTTGCCAGCCGAATTCGGCATCCTTGTATCACCAGCCGGTGCACCCTCAGCGGGTTGCAGGGTGCTCTCAGGCGCAGGTCGGTGCAGGTTCAGCCAACGAGATGGTACAGAAAGGAATGGATGTCCAGTACTTCCCTAAAATTCTGAGTCAGCAGGAGACCCAGGCCGCTAAGCACTCTATGTTTGTTAGTGATGACAAGGCACGTATAGGTGACGCGTCTGGGAACGGCGGGTCACAGTATGAAAACGTCGAGAACCTGGAGTGCATTCAGAATCAAGAAGTGCTGCCAAGCGAACCCCAGAACGTCAGTGCTTCCTCCCCTGCGGCTGGTCTTGATCTGTACAGATACGGATCCTTTCCAGGTCAGATGCTTCCAAAGAATGCTGTTGTGAGCCATGCTGAAGGAGGACCAAATTTGGAGGCACCTGATTCGTTACCTCATCCTGTCCGACCAGATAGTGTATCTTCAAACTATAGCACCATTAGCCATAGGAGTGCTTCTGGCTCAGCCAGGCCTCAAGAGCAAGTCGGTACATTTATTCAGCAAGAAAGTGGGAAGCCTGATGAAGAATCTTCTGCTAGCTTCTTCAAACAGATTGACTCCTCTCCTCTGGGAGGTGATGCAAGTGAGCTGAACCTGGGCAAAAACTACCATGGTAATCTATCCCAGCCTCCAACTCCAAGTCCTCCTAAGCCTACAGGAGTGTTTCAGACCAGTGCAAATAGCTCTTTCGAACCTGTGAGGTCACATGGAGTTGGTATAAAACCTGCAGAGATTGACCAAGCAAAGATGGTGGTTGAATTCAGAGAGAACCACTCAAACCAAAAGAATATCAAGAAGAATACAGCTGTGCCAGCTGCATCTCCAGGCAATCTTGAACAGCCACCAGATAATCTGGAAACTATTTTCATGCCTCAGGTACACCTGCTGCCTCTTGCAGTCACTGGTGAAGCTGGAAATACGTTGCACTCTGGACCTGTTATGGAAAACATACAGTCAGTACCTGAGAGAAGGTCCTTAACAAGAGCTCAGGGAGCAGTTAAGAAGTGTGATAGCCCAGTAACGACTTTGTGGGCTCATAATGAGTTGCCTAATTTTGGGGGAAACGTTCTTCTAGCTCCTGCTGCTCCTGCAGTGTGCGTACCTGCCAAACAAACTGTAGAAGTCATTCAGCCACCAGAAGAAGGCCTGTCTAATCAGCAGCCGAGTAAACCAGGCACTATTGCTGTGCACCTTTCCCAGGATGGAAATATATCTTCTGAAAACCTTGAGAATCCTCCCAAAATGGGAGAAGAGGAGGCACTTCAGTCTCAGGCAAGTTCTGGTTATGCAAGTTTGTTGTCTTCTCCACCTACAGAGTCTTTGCAAAATCAGCCTATCCTGATTGCTCAGCCTAATCAAAGCTATAACTTGGCTCAGCCAATTAATTTTTCTGTTTCTCTATCTAATCAGCTAAGCAGCAGTGAAAACAATCAGCCAATGAAGGACTCTGGGGTTGGGGACAAGCCTGCAATGGCTCCCCAAACGTCACATGCTGGTGGGATCATTTCTGGGGAAAACATGCCATTACCTGTGATGCAAGTTGGATCTCTATTAGTTAATGCACTTCCAAATACTAATCTGTTAAAACATAATTTATTGCAAAGCCCTGTTAATTCCTCTGATACTGCTTCTAATCAGCCTGCAAACTTGCTTATGAAAACTCCACTCAATTTGGCTCCAGAAGGGCAAAAGAATGTTAATATGGAAGGTTTTGTTCCTGAATTTGCTAGCAAGCCAGGGCCTAACTCATCCGTTTCTCCTGGGACAAATCTGCCCAGTGGAAGTGCAAGTGCACTAGTACCCCCTGTTCATTCTGTAGTCCAGGCTAATAATTCTGCAAGTCATTCAAATAGCAAAGAAGAAGCTCCTGGAGTGCTTGACTTCACTGTATCACGGACGTTGGAGAAAAACAGTGCAAGTAATTCTGTACAGGTGCATAACCAGTCACTTTCTGGTGGTCTGGTGTATCCTCAGCAGTCAACTGGTAGCGCTGGTCAGGTGGGTCCTGAGATGCGTGACAAACAACATTTCTATCAACAGGTGACAAAAGATGTACAGCATCAGGCTGTATCGGACAGAGGCGTGCAGGGAGCACTGCCGTCTCAGTCACAAATGCAAGCCGCTCAAATGCAGCAGCAGACATCCTCCGTTCCTTCCAACTACCAGATTGCTGCAGGGCCTAAAGCCATGCAGCCGTCCCAGCAGCGTGAGAACCAGGTGCTGAGTAACCACCCTCAGCCTGTGGGTCCCCAAGAGGCGGGTGCAGCACAGCTGACAAGGTACGATCAGAGCCCTGAGAAGCAGCCAGCGTCTGGACGGCCGTCGGGTTCTCCGACTTCCACAGCCCCTTCTGCCGCCACCGGTCAGTCAGTCATGCCAAATGTGCAACAAGACCTGCAGCGTCCACCCCTGGCTCAGACTCCTCAGGATGCCTTTGGTCCACCCCAGAACCCTTATTACTACTATAGACATCCTTATGATGCTTACCAGCACCCGTACCCACCACCTTATCCTCCTGCAGACCCCAGAACAGCCGCTCATCTTTATTACATGGTAAGTTTTTATTTTTCCCTTCCTTCCCCCTCAGTATGTATGAGTAATTTTCATCTTTGAATGATGAGTTTAAACAGTTATGTCATGATCAACATTCAGTAGAGCATTCATGTGAAGTATTTAATTGTAAAACAGACAGCAGTAACAAAGCTTATGTCACAAAGACTGTAAAAACTTAAAGTAGTTGCTAATACGGATTCCAGTTGGCACAGATGTCAGCTGATAGCAGTTTATTTGGCTCTTTGGAAAAAGTTGGCAGTTACAACTGTCCTGGCTGCCCAGGTGTTCACATTGGGTTCCTCTGCTGCCTGAATTATGGACAGATTAGCAGAGTGGCCAGCATAGTGGTTGAACAGCCTTTAGTCCAGATGTAATGTTTTTTTCTTAAGCTTAGGATATTAATTAGACTGGAATATAATTTGCCACAACAGGTATCAAAAGCTATGCTGTAGCCTCTTGATCTGCATCTCACAGTTGTGGTGTGTATGGTGATTTGTTTGTGTTTAAAGGATTATTCTTGGAGGTGGAAAGCCTCTTGCCTTACCTCTCCATCTCTTTTCTAGGAGGATAGCTATGGACAGTATGACCCACGGTACAGACCCTACGATAGCACCAGCACTGCCTACATGGAGCCTGGGAGCTATCGGTATTCTGAGCCTGAACGTCCCAGTTCCAGAGCCAGTCACTGCTCTGACAGGCCACCTTCTAGGTACGCAGCTCCTAAATGGAGTAAAGCTCTGGGGTGCCCGGCGTGGCACGGTGCCTGCTGCGGTTTTACAGCATACGCCGCGGCGAGGAGGTTCAGAAACTCTTGGTGAGCTGCCGTAGGAGCGGGCGGTATCGAATGCCACGTCTGAAACGGATCCCGCGGCCTTTTCTGTTGCTAAAGTCTTGTCGCTCCTTTCGTTCAGTTCTCTGGGTGGTTGTTGGTGCTTCTACCAGGCAGGAGCTCGCTGCGATGGACTCGGTGGCTCCAGCTCTTCTTCACGTGTGCTGTGAAGGAGCAGCGCAGGCCACGGGTTGGTTCATCCACACTGGTTTAGTTTCTGGCTAGAACTTAAGCAGTGGCCCCGAGTTCTGCGGTTTGCCTCACAAGCACAGCAGTACGTGTGGCCGACTGAGACACCGTGTTTCAAATGTTCAGAAGAGAGAGGTGGTAAATCTGGTGGAAACATCCTGGTGCTGGGTCAGGTTAATGTGCCTGATGATGACGTCAGCTGTGTGGATGAGCTTTCTCACAGAACCCCCAAACTGTGGTCCGTGTAGCAAAAGTGATATGTGGGCGTGTTTCACCCAGTGGCTTCACTGCAGGTTTTGGTGGAGATAGCACATGAATTAGGAAAACTGAAGCCTTGGTCTAATTATTTGAAATAAAAAATTTGAGAGAGGGAGACAATGCATTTAGATGCTACGTGCAAATATGAAGTAAAAAGCAGAAATGACATCTCTAGTATTTCTCAAGCAAGAAACAGGAAATTACCTTCCAGGGATTACTGCTCTCTGATGGTTGTTGCATAACTGATTTGTATGAACTTCAGACTAGTGACAAAATGCTAGCGTTGCATTACCTGTGGGTGGGTTTGCAGGTTTCCAAGGCAGAACCCCAGTTATCTGTCTGGAAATGATGAAAACCTGTGT